TATAATATTGCTTTCTATTTTTCACACTGAAAAATGATGAAGTGAGTTTAAAAAAACAAGGGCATATCAGGAGATCCCATTTTTGTAAAAAGAAAAACCCCCAAATTCAACTTCTCTTTTTCTCTTTTACTCTAAATATATAGATATGCATTGAAATAGCCTGGAAAGACACACATCAAAATGAAAATGGTGATTATACTTTATTCACATCAGCAGTTTGTGTTTGTGACAATGAGCATGAGTCATTTTTATGATTTTTTTAAAAGGTGATGTTTAAAAGAAAGAATCATTTAAAAATTTAAAATGTATTCGATTTATTCTGAAATAAAAACATTTTAGACGTTACATATTAAATACAAATATTAAAGATATTTGAAAAGATTTTCCAAAGTAGATGTGACTTATAGAATGCTGAAATATGTGTGTGTTGTTTTATAAAGTCTCAAGGAAAATATATATGATGAAATAACAAGGGTGTTCCTTGAAGAGGTTTTTTTTTTTCTTTTAAATTTTAAGTAAAATGGAGTAATTATAGAAGAAAAAAGGAAAGTATAGAGAGTGTTTTTCCATTAAAATATTTTCACTGAACTGCTTCTAAAGTAAACCGGTACCTTAGAACGAACGAACATTTCTTTTAAAATGTCATTACTAAAGTTCAAATTCAGCATGAATATATTTTTAAAATTCTCAACAAATAGCTAAGGTGAAAAATCTTCCTTTCTTATCATGAATTTGTGTAATGCTGACCCAACTGAGAAAACAATGACATGGGGCTTTTTACTTATAAACAGTACAAAATAATTTTAATTTTCCGTAATTTCAATGCATTTCTCATAAAATACTTGGCAAATGACAAAAAAAAAACCAACAAACTTTGCAGTTTCCTAATAATAACTCACAGAATAAATTTGAACAAATAAATATGGAAATTAAACAGTGTCATCAAAATATACTTACCCTTTCCCTAAGTTATGTGTGATGCCCGTTAATATACACAGTTAGGGAACTCAATCCATCTGGCTCCCTTGGGTAGACTTTTACTTCCTAAGTCCCAAGCATACTCATCATCACTTAATCCTGGATCTACATCCAAAAAGAAGCTTAACAATAGTGATTGTTTATTTTGTAGGTTTTAAAGAAGCTAGAGTGCCAGAGAAGATCTTTGAAGTGTGAAAAGACTTCCCGTAATTGAAACCAAAATGTCATTTATAGATCCTTATCAGCACATTATAGTAAGTCATTTACTGTTTACGGATTCTTTCTGGGAGCAGGGAAGATGTGTTTCTGTGTATTGCTGGTGTTGGTAGTAAAGTGAAACTCTATGACAATCCCTGGATTTGTTATTAAACTCATATGAACTTAATGTGGCACATATAGGCTACAGTACATAATAAAACTAATTCATCTCTTTTTTTTAATTACTGTAAGTTTCCAAAAAGGGACTTGGAGGGAAAAAATTCCAAAACATCTGTAACAAAAATGAACTTTCATGGAACAATTAAAATGTATTTATCACTTAGCAATTATTAGCCTGCATAGTTTATACTCTTCACATGACTTGGTTGAGAGAAGAATAAAAGATAAAAAAATTTCTGAGTTCAAGGTTATATTTTGGTATGCATTTCCAGGATGATTAACTCCGTAAACTTTCCCTTTGTTAGATATGTTTAAATAAATCTTTATACATTATTTTTAGTAAAGAGTTAAGTGATTGAAATTTTAGCCTGTAATTTTCCAAACTGCACTGGAAATATATATTCTCTCTTCTGACCAAAAACCAGAGTAGAGATTTCCTTGCTGAAATCACCACTTGAGACCCAGTTAGGTTTATATGAACTAGAAACAGTTTTTATGGATATTAAGGAATAATCCACAGCCTCATTTTTACTTAAAATGAAACACTGTTCTTTTACTCTGCATCCTTTTCTAGCTACCATCCTCCTCCGTGCCCTGCCTGGATAGCAGGGTTTACTACATTACAATTCTTTGTGGTGCCCCTATTCCCCTCCATTCACAACTTGAATCATTGAACTGGACTCCAATTCGCCCTTCCCCTTCGCAAGAAGGTCTAATCAATGGCTTCTTTGGTGCTAAATCCAATGGACTCTTGAGTTCCATCCCTTCCAGCCCGCTGTGCTGGTCATCCCTCTCTTCGTGAAACTCTTCTCAGATTTCTCTGGTTCTGTTTCTTCTGTTTTCTTGTTGGTTACCTCTCAGTTTTCTTTTGCAAGCTTCTCTTTCTGTTTTTCTATTTTTTTTTTTTAAATCGAGGCAAAACATATACAAATTGCATAAATCTTAGTTGTTAAACTTGATGGATTTTTACATATGAAACTATCACCCAGATAAAAATACCCAATCAATAAATCCCTCCAAAGGTAAGCAATATTTTACCTCAATTATCATGGGTAAGTTTTGCTTGTTTTGAGCTTCATATAAATGAAATGTCTGCGTTCAACATTATATATATGAGATTCATTCATGTTGTTGTGAGTAGCAGAATTCCACACTTTTACTTTGCCATGTGGTATTTCATTATTCAAATTTACCGCAAGCTATTTATCTAGTCTACTGATAAACTATCACGTGTTCCTTGAATGGCAATGGTCATTTGCTGTAAACCAGGCAATGATATATGTGTGACTTCATGTCTATTCTGTTCTATTGGTCTAATAGTCTATGTTTTCATCAATATCAATCTATCCTCATTTCTGTAGCTTTAAAATGTGATTTTGTATATAGTAATGTAGATTCTTCAATTTTTTCTTCTTCAAGATTATCTTTGCTATTTTTAATCGTTTGCATTTCCATATAAATTTTGGAATCAGTTTTTCAATTTGCATACGTACAGACAGAAACACAAAACTTCTGAGAATTTGATTGGTATTGTAACGATTCTATAGGTTAAATAAGGGAGAGATGACATGATAATGATGTTGAGTCTTCTAATCCATTAATAGCTCATGAATCTGATCCCAAACTAAATATTACTTAAATCATCTTTAATTCTCTCAATAATTTATTGTAGTTTTCAGTAAGAAATATTTATATATATATTTCTTGATATTTGATATTTTAATGTAATTATAAAGTGTTTATAAATTTCATTTTCCGATTAGTTGCTGCATTTATATGGAAATACAATTGATTTTTTTATACCCAGTGACCTTACTGAATTTCTATTAATTCTAATTTTTTTTTGTAGATTATTTTGGATTTTTAACTTAAACATTCCTGTTATCTGTAAATAATGCCAGTTTTAATTCTTCCTTTTTAATCTGTAAATATTTATTTATCTTTCCAGCTCTACTGATTGTAGACTACATGTTTTAGGTATATCCCATAAGTTTAGAAATGTCATATTTTCATAATTACTCAGTTAAAATATTTTCTGACTTTTACTCTGATCTATTCTTGGTGCATGGGTTACATAGATGTGTGTTACTTAATTTTCAAACACTTGGTAATTTTTTTAGTTGTCTTTTTATTGATATTTAATCTAAATTCCACCGTGTTCTGAAAATATACTCTGTATCATTTCTCGTTGTTCGTAATATATTTATACATGGTTGTGGTCTTATCTATTTTGCTGTTTCATATGCAACAATATGTTCCATATTCAACTTTTGTTTCATGAATTTTGAAGTTATGTTATTAGGTGCAAATTCCAAATTGTATAGATTTCTGTTGAATTAATGTTTTATCATTATGATAGCTTTGTTTTTATCTATAATAACTTTGTTTTAAATTTTATTTTGTTTTTTATTAATATAACCCCTTCCAGTTTCTTTGGTTAGTGTATGTATCCTTTTATTCTTAACCTACATTTTCCTTACATTTAAAATGTACTCCTTGTAAAAAAGATATAATCAGATATTTTTAAAAAAATTATATTAGATAATATTCATTTTCTGAACCAAGATCCTGTTTTCCTTTCACAATTATGGATTTCTATAGATGAATTAAAAATGAAGTTACGTTCTTTTAAATTGCTTTTTCCTATGAATGAACTGTTTCTATATCTTATGTACATATTAATCTTTTGTTTCTCACCCCATCACGTCAAGAGAGGTGGGTAGTTTCTATAACTCTCAGAGAATTTAATCAAAGTTTTCCTTCTCAAACTTAACATGGAGTCTGACATTTGGAACTGAGAAGAATGAAGATAAGGTTACATTTAGGCTTTTAATTCATTCTACCTCTAAATCTATTTCAATTTTTTATTGAGCACTTATCACCATTTATTGAAAGCCACTGTTCCCCACTTGTTGTCCACAGGCACTGGTGATACAAAGATGAATCAAACAGACAGAGTCCCTGACTTGGTTGAGCTTATGTCTAACAGAAAAGATGAATAATTTATTTATAATAATTATCATAATGTAAAGTAATGCAAGCCCATAATGTAAGGGCTCTGATAAGAGACAATGAAGATTACTCTGGGAGTATGCAACAGGAATAATCAATAATAGGAATCCTTCTGGGAAGAATTCTTAGAGGAAGTGACATATAGGTGTAGACCTGAAGATTTAGGAGGGGTTACTCAGGTCAAGAAAGAGAAAATGACTTTTCTGGATTAGGGGAAAAAAGCATATGTGAAGTAGTCTGCAAGTGAGAAAGTACATGATTTAAGGAAAGAAAAAGTTCAGTATGGTTGCAGCATAATACATGTCAAAGAACACTGTTGTTTGGAATGACCACCACTGTCCTGCCTGATCTGGCTGGGCCTTATCGCTGAATGCTGTGTGGTCCCCAGGCGTCCCTTGTCAGATGACCTGTGAACTGGCCATTCAGTTTCTTCTTTTAACACAGCAGAGTTTATTTAAAAATCAGACTGGATATCTTAAGCCTCAGAACTGGCACCTTTTCCTGCAAATTTTGTTAACTACGGCAAAATATTTAGGCTAAACTAAGTACTTATGTAACATTTTAATCTGATAAAGCATGAAAAAAACCCACATATTTGTATCACATTTTTCTTCACCTTCTCCAACATCAGACTTAGGCAGTGAATTAGTATTCTGATTTTTAGCACTTTTAAATGAGGAGATCCTAAGAGCTTTATAGTTTTTTTCATCATTCTTGTTCTTGCTGTGTGTATATAAAAAAAAGAACTGTGGATGCACATGTATGTGTGTGAATTGCTTAATGGCAAAATTCTCTGCTCTGGTTTATTTTCAAATACATAAGTGAACACACTCAACACAGAATAATATTAGTAATAAGGAAAGATGGGGGAGATCAAGCCAGCTAACTAGTAATGAGCAGATGGTGCCAAGCAGGCTAACATAGCTTTGGCTGCCTCCAGGCACAGAACTCTGGGCTCATTTTCACCACACGTGTGATGCAGGAACATGTTAGGGAATCCTGTGGGCTGATGCAGCAATTTGCAGCCAGCGAGCTCATTTGCTTCCAATCTTTTAAGAAGGTGGTAGAAGACAGAGTGATAAATATGTGACAGAATTTAGTTCCCCCATGTCTTGAGTTGTTGGGAGGTACATTTCAACCTTAAGCATATTTGTGCCTTCAGAATTCATTGAAGTTTTTTTTTGACCAGGGAGGCATCAACTTTATAAGGAGAGGTCAAATATAAAATATTTATAAAAATTTCCATCATTTTACTCCGAAAATATGAGTCATATCCTTGAACTAAAAAAAAAGAAAAATCCACTCCTCTTTCTTCCATCTATTAGCAGTGGAGGTGCACAGCCCACATTCACAGAAACTAAGGTGGTCTTCTTCACATTAGCGACAGCCAACCACATGAATAGGCCAGCATTATTTCCTGCTAAAATACAAGGGCCTTTCAAAAATGTCATTGTAGAATGACTAGAAATTTTACCAAAAATATAGAAAGCTATTATTCCAGATTATTACGGTAACATAGGAAAAGCCCCACCACTGGAGAAGTAATCAAAGAACTAGTGTTCTGGTGGCAGTTCTAGTCTTACCAGTTACGTGGTCATAAACACGTGGACTCTTGAGTTTTAGCTGCCTCATCTGGAAAACAAGGGATGAATGATGCCTGGTGTGTCTGCCTCACCGACCTTTTTTAAATAATACATTGTTATGTGTACAACATTATTCTTTTGAAACTTAATAAAGTAAGATATTTTCAGAAAAGTCAGAAAGTGAGATGCTACTGGGAAATCAGAAATATAAAAGTGATGAAACCTTTATTACAAAAGCGCAGCACTGTGCAGGAGTTGATAATGAGTTTTATGGCAAATAG